ACCGGCGGCTATATTGCGATCACGCTAATAATAATAATGATAATCATCATTCGTCGCTTCAGCCGGCGCATCCTGCGGCAGAACGAATCCGCCGCGCCGCGCCGCGACGCGACGAAATCGCCGCGTCTCTCCAGAGGTCTCTCCGCTCTTTTTCCGCAGAGCGGATATGGAAATGGCCTATCGATGACGCGCCTCGCGATGGATCACCATGGGCGGTCCGCCTCGGACCAGGTTATACGAACCGTCCAGCGGGATCCGACACCCACGGGGTGCCGCGCTACGTCGTAACTGCATTTCAACTCACCGCCACGCGAAGCATGACGAATCCGCGCGGCAGTCTCGAATTTCGCGTTAACGCTTCTCAGATAGCCGCGCTCAGCGCTGGCCATTTTTCCAATGTCCGTGATCCAGCTGGAAAGGTGCGAGGCGAGTCGCACCTCAGCGACCGGGCGTTTTACTCGATTCGTTCCTGAATCGCGCGCGTCGGGAGATCTTTCTCCCGAACGGCAGACTTGATTAGAGTCGTCGGACGTTGAATAATGTCGGAGTGTCTCCCGCGAAACGAGCGGCGTCGCGACCACCTCTGACTCGATTAGCGATTACTTGGCAAAATTAGCGTAGAAAGATTCGTGTTCGGACGGGGTGTAAGACCGATCGTGGAAATCGAACAAGTTCAGCGTTTCCAATATTTCAACGTTCGGAGAGATCGAAGCTTTTCGCTCAACTTTGGTCCCTAGTTCCAGTACTTGCGCGCTTGTTGTTTGGGAGAAACATCGATTTCGCGTCTGAAAGATCGCGAGCGTCGAATAATAATTGACTCGCGTCTTCGAAAGCTAACGAATTGACGGCAAATCGTCACAGACGACGCTGGGGCGAAGACGATCCAAAGCGGCGGCGGCGCGAAGCGGGGGGCCCGGCGAGAGAGAACAATGTTACCGAAGCGAAGAGCAAAGGGCAGCGAATCCCCGCGGCGCGAGGGAGCGATGGTTGAAATTTGACTGTAACTTCGGGAGCAACTCTTTCGGCCGATATCGATTTTCATTTGGCACACGAGACGCGCACATCTCGCCGATTGCCGTTTCGTTTAGCCGCTCGCATGTGCGCGGCGCGCCGCCGCGCGACACGAGCGACATTTTTCTATGTAAATAAGCTCCGGATCCGTGTTCGTCGGGGCCTCAATGTCCGAAGGGAACTTTCGAGAGTTACAAAGTTGCGCCACAGAGTGGAGGCGGAGGCGGCGGTTACGTTGGCCGCCTGATGAACGTTCATGCGCTTATCGAAAATGAAGATAAGTCCGCCCGGCCGTGCGGAATTTACGGCGTCTGAGAAATCGAGTTTCCGCTCGTAAGCGGCGTTTTACATATAATTAGGCTGGAAATAGCCGCGAGGAGGTTTCTGTTACGCGCTCTCTATTCGCCGACTTGGATCTCATTCTCCGACGACGGAAACGGCATTAACGACCGCGATCGCGCGCGCAGCTCTCGCTCGCACGATAGGCCTCCTCCACTTTTTTCCTTTCTTTCTCTTTCTGTGTGTGCGCGCGCGCGCGTGCGTGTGTGTGTGTGTGTGTGTGCATGCATGTGTAATCCGGCGAACTCGTTTAAAACACGCCTATCGCGATCTCTATCTTATCCTCGCGAGAAGTCGAGCGCCCCACGGAGTGTCGCGCGAGTGTCTCGACGCCGCGCGCATGTCGGATTCGTTCGCGGAACGGCGGCTATATTACGCCGTGTCAAAATAATCGCACCTGTCGTGCACTGAGAAGTGCTCGTTCACGGTACCGTTTGCGACGGCTTACACTTTTCACGGCTAAAAACGGAAGGAGGACGCGCGTCTTCCTTATGCGTCTCGGCCAAACTGAAATGGCGACTCTTTCTCACTCTCCTCTTCGTTTTGTTTTCGTTCTCTCAATTATTCGTCTCAATTAGACTTCCCAATTTATCCCCTAATTTATATTTGCCGATGGGAATCGGGTCGACGACGAGAAATGACGGACATGAGACGACTTCGTGCGAGCGAAGCCTCGCACGTGTCAATAGAACATTCGGGTTAACGAATACTAAAATAGTGATGGAGAACGTTCAAGGATCTCCTTAAGATGTCAACAAATAAAGAATTTATTCTATATTCGCGCGCGAACGCGCGATCGGGAGCCGCTGGAGCGGTGCCAAATATCAATGTTAAATCAATCGCCGACACGGCGTCTTAGGCTACAAAATGTCGCACGTGTGACCCCGTTTTACAAATTTATATTCCACATTCGAATATCGGCTCGCGGCGGATTAATATCGAATCAGCGCGATATATGTCAGGCGCGCCTCTCGAATCGCTCGCGATCAATAATAGTCGGCGGCGGCGGCAACGGCGGCGGCGGCGGCGGCGGCGGCGGCGGCGGCGGCGAACGTGATAGAGAGAAAATGGATTGTGGATTTATCATCGCCGGGTTCATTGACGGGTCCCGAGCGCGCAGGTAGGATCTCGTAGATATTCAATTCCGTAAAGCAACGTAGCGCGCGGCGTGGCAGGACGAGCGACCGCAAATTTCCATTTTCCCTCAAATCGAGACAAATGTATCGCGCGTATTTTCCAGCGCGCTCTCGCGCGCGCCGCGCGTTTATTGCCGGTTTCATGGAAAACTGGCAAAAGTGGATGACTGATGACTTCATACGGCCGCGCGCGCGCGCGGACTAGCAACGCGGCTGGACTCGCTCGGAAACGGAGATTCGCGCGGCGCGAGCGATTCGCGAGGACGAATTCACGGGCGCGACGGGGACGGATCGGCAGATCGGAGACGAGACGAGCTGCCGCGTTCTTCCAGGATGGATCCGATCCCGCGGTGATTACGACGGAGGATTGCACGTGAAAGCGAGTTCTTCGAACCGATAGATCACCGACGACATTGTCGTCGTCGGCGGCGGCGCGGCTTTTTCTCCGCCTCGTCGTTAGTCCGACGAGGGACGACGACGGTGCTTTGCACAAATTGGAGTTCCGCTGCGACCGTGCGGCGCACAATGCTCGGAGGCCATTAGACCTCCGGAAAAACGCCTCTCGCGACGACTGCGAAATCGCGCGCGGAGAAGCTTGCGACGAGGCCGACTCGGCCGGGGAACGCGCGGAAGCGCGATCGCGATCGTCCGCTCGGTCCTTCCTCGACTTCGCGTGCCTTCCGGCGACGTGGATCTATTTTCGGCCGCGATACGCGAAATCATTTTCTCTGGTGGCTCTCGCGAACACACACACACACACACACATATGCGCGCGCGTTCGACTTCCTCACCGCCTCGGTCGGGAATAAAAGTTCGCGTGTCCCTACGAACACGCAAGAGGAGAGGAGTGCAGAGCGGGAGCGCCGGAGAACTCTCGCCGTGTCTGCGTTCTCTCGTGGAGAAACTTTCATCGTCCGAATGCACCGTGCGGGAAAACGGATTCGGCCGGTCCGCCGCTCGACTGTCCGCGCATTCGAAATATCTCGCTGGCTCTGTGTGCAAACGCACACTTCGCCGCACGGAGTTTGTGCGAAAGTCAAATGAACCGTGCGAGATGCGCGTAAGTGCGTAATAATGCGTTCAATCGCGTTCGCGGTCGTGATCGCCCGTCGCTCGCCTCTTCGTCGCGCGTTCTCGTCAAATTCGCCTCCCCACCCACCCACCCCCCCTACCCCACTTTCGTTCAAACGGGCTCGTATCAACCGGATTCTTGTAACACATTTACCGCTACGACGGCAATATTATGTCACTGGTGACCGGCGCTATATTCGCATTATCGTGCCTCATTAATTTAATAGCGCATATAACTCATTAATTTAATAACACAATTTAATGACGTATAAAAACGTGACCAGCTGCGTGCGACAAATTACCCCCGCCGATAGAAAATCGATGAAACGATCTGACGAACGTACGAGCCGACGAGTTGCGTTTATTTGTCGCGTCTTTGATGCTCCGTACGGTCGCGGTCGCGAGCACTCGACTAGCCAAGAGGGAAATTAACGCTTCTCTGGGTGTCCCCGAGAGAAGGAAAAAAACTTTACCGTTTCGGACGCGTCTGGAGAATATCCGACACAGCAGCTACGCTTGCTTCCTGCAGCGCTTCCTACGTCGAAGCGCGATCTTTCCTCATGCACGCCGGGGGGGGGGCATGACGTGAAATTGTCGCGTTCTACGTTATGCAAACAAGAACAAGTAAATATAAACAAACGGTAAACACTCATGTTCCAACCGAACGCGCGCGCAACGGCTCGAACGGAAACTCCGTTTGAAGTGCGCGTCGCTCGAAAGAGCCGAGGTTCGAGGACGCGCTCAGATTGATTGCACGTGGCGCACAGTCGGATTCTTCAGCGTCGCGGGAATTTTTTACGCGCGACGCACGTGGCCTCAGCGTGTGTCACGCTGACGATGGAGCAGAAGAAAAAGGAGGAGGCGTGCGTCTGTTCTATTTGCACCTTCGCCGCCGACGAGCGAAGTCGCGCGCACGCTATATTGACAGGTAGCCACTTAGCGGTGTCGTCAAAGCTCCTGCTCGCGGACGTGGCCCGTGGCGATAAATCGCGACTTTCAGGAACGCAAAGCTTTCGAAAATTTGCAGAGAGAGAGAGAGAGAGAGAGAGAGAGAGAGAGAGATGCATCGCAAAGTCGGGCCGACACCTAGGGAACAGACGGGTAATCTATATGCGCGGCGAAGAAAGCGGCTCTCTGAATCGCGACTCGAAGGCGCGGTGACCCCTGACACGTAGTGCGTTTTCGCATCGCCGACGTGATTTACCGAGGGCACGCGTCCTCCAGCATCGAGACGAGATCGGCCGCGAGCGAAGCGTGAAAGGCGCACGTGCGTTCAGGCGGCGGGTTTCGTTATTTTTCAAAAACGAGAAACAAAGGAAAGAGAGAAAGAGAAAGGCAGAGACAGAGAAAGGGAGAGGGAGAGAGGGAGAGAGAGAGAGAGAGAGAGAGAGAGAGAGAGAGAGAGAGAGAGGGATGGAGAGAAGGAAGACAGAAGGCACTCACTTATATGCAGGAGAGCTCCAGCCGATGATCCCGGACTTTCATCGACAGCGACACTGCCCCGTAAAGACTGTTCCAGTAAAGTTCAATCGACCTCCGGGATCCTCCAGCGCCTCTTCCTCTCTCGTGACTCCGCACCGCCGTCGAAAGCCTCGAGCGCGCAACGAATGCACGTGACGACGGGGGTTAAATGCCCTTGCCGCGCGAAGTGGTCGGTCGGTCGGTCAACCGGCTCTCTCCTTTCTTCTTTCCCTTTTCTTCTTTTTCTGTCTCTTTCCCCTCTCTCTCTCTCTCTCTCTCTCTCTCTCTTTCTGTGTTTGTGTGTCTCTCTCACGACGACGACAACAGGTCCTCGCAACGCGGCGGTCGCAACGAGACTGAATCGCCGCCAGTCCGCTGCTGCTCCATCCAGCCTGGAAACAGCTGCTCTCCCTGCCGGTGCCAGAAAACCGCGCCGGCCTCTGTCTTTCTCTCTCTCTCTCTCTCTCTCTCTCTCTTCTCTCTCTCCCTCTCTCTCTCTCTCTCTCTCTCTCTCTCTCTCTCTCCCTCTCTGTCTTTCTCGCTCTCGTTCTCTTTATCGGCGGCCGTGAGTCTCGTACGGCGCGCCAAGTGCATCTTTCCGCGATGCCTCCCTCTCGCACCTCTCTCGCATCGGTGCAAACCTGCCGGTGACCTGGCAAGGGGTGAGCAAGGAGCGACGCGCGCGGGGGTGGAGCCGACGAGCCTCCAAGAAGTCTCGCTCCTACGCGAGGTAACTTATCGGTGCACTCTATCGCGTTGGATTCGTTACGGCGATGATGACGCGCGTGGCAGCGCGGATGACGAGCCGAAATCGGCATTTCGCGCTCCGTTTTTATGTAGCCCCCTTTTCCTCGCGCGCGCGCGTGTTGAGTTTCGCGCGATCCTGCGGCGATCCCCATGAACTTCGGAACTCGTTCTCCTTGTGGCGGCTTCCGAAACGCGCAAACGTGCGCGGATCAGGATCGGCCGTTTCGGATTCTCTCGGCTCCCTCCGTCGCGCGGATGTGTTGACGTCTTGCGAGAAAACAGATAGATCGAAAGGAAAAGTAGCAAGACATTCCTGTAGAATTTCCATTCCACGACGCGCGTTATGAAAATCGGCTTCCTACCGTGTATACGCAAGTGCACATTCCCTCTGAATAATTGTGGCGCTACAAAAACCCAGAGCTGCCTCCCCCCTTCTCGCCCCCTGAGGACGCGAAGAGGGGGGGGGGGATCGTAAAGCTTTTAGCGAAAATTAGTATCGAAAACGTCGATACTCGCGCGCCCTGCCGCGGCTATAAAATCCCCCCTTCGCACGCGTATATATTCCACACCGGTTGTTTCGATTGTAAAGGCAAAAGGGGGAGGCTTTATTGGCGGGGTATTAACCGGTGACGGCGCGTCTGTCTTGCTACTTGCGCGCGTAACACCTGCGCCAAGGCGCAGGTTTTCGCTTCGCTCTGCCTCGCTCCAGCCCGCTCGTAATATCGCTCGTCGGCTCGCGACGCGAGCTTTCGACTCGAGTGGAATCTTTATGACGTTCACCAAGTTCGCGCCACGTGGCGTCTCAGCTTTCCTACGTACCTGTCAAAGTCGAGCCAGCAGACTCTCGCGAGCCAATCGCAATCGAACCCCGCGATCTTCCGAGCTCGGCCGAGTTGCCGACGATGAGAGCCAAAGTTTCACGACGGTGCTGATAAGTCGTCTGACGACTTATCAGCACCCGAGCGGGGACGTGGGGACGAGCTCGGCCTCAACGTCTCGGTGAAGCCGCGAAGGCTTCGGGATGACGCACCTCGGCGCGTCACGCTGATGTAATGAACGCCTGCACCTGTGATCGCGGGACACGGTTAGATATTAATCTCGCCGCGATTAGCGTCTGGAAGAGGGAAAAACGTCCGATTGATTACCGATAGATGAGACTGCAATTGGTCCCGCTCGCTTCACGACGAAGATCGTCCGGGCGAGCCGCCCGAGCGGCTCGAGAACGCGTTCGCGGAGACTCCGCTTCGGAGAGCTTTCGCGAGCGTTCGTCAGATACGCCGGCGACGCTTATTTATCCTCTGTAACGCAATGCGGATAAATTAACCTTTGTTACCGGCATACGACGGCGGCACGTCTTTGTCTCAACGTGGTATTTAGTTTATCGGTTCGAAAGCAGTGGAGTGTCAAGAGCACACGTGTCTCATCGCCTCTCTCTCTCTCTCTCTCTCTCTCTCTCGCTCGCACTTCCGTTGCCGCCGCTGTTGTTTTTCCTCGGCCACCTCGGGTCGCAATTACGCAGCTTCATAAATCACAGGCGAACGTAAAACCCGGGGTTACATAATAACGATTCGCAGGAAGGTAGAAAGGACACGTCGTCGGCTTGATGCGCTTCGTTGGATTTTCGTCGCAACATTTTTTCACCCGCTGTGTATAATTACGAGATTAACCCGCAACACGCAAAAGATCGTTTTCTCTCGGCATTTGCCCCATGCGGAGATCTGTAAAGCCCATCCGCCAAAGTTTCCGAGACCGCGGAGGGTGCAATCGGGGTGAAACGAGAGGAGGGAAGGGGGAGGGGGTTCCGATCGAGACGCGAAATTGACTCCTTTTTCTCGTCCGGCCGAACTTTGCGCCTCGGATCCGGCGTGGGCTCCGTCATGAGCGCCTTTATAAACGATTAGGTCATCATCACCCTCGCGGCACTTTCATTTGCACCGACCGAGTCGCCGCCGCGCCGTATATCCCGGATGCGATCATTATCATTAAGAGTCGCCGGGCCTTACGTCTCTCTTCCACTCGCCCCACCTTTCACCTTCCGTTCGTCTTTTTCTGAACAGACGAGACGACGACCACGCGCGCCCTGTCATGGCCCACGCGACACCCATTACGACCAATCGGCCCTTCAAATACGCGCGCTAAACGACACCGGACTGTTCCTCAATCTCGTCCTGGAATGCATCGCTCGCACACAAACGGTCGCGCACAATGAAATTATATTATCTGGTCGTGTGTGCGCGCGCGGACCGGACGAAGGAGAATCAGCGACGCGACGTGACGCGCGGTCGGCGAGTCGAGCGAAGGACCGACGGGGAATTCGTTTCGCGAGATTACGAATCGACCCCGGGAGGAGGAGGGGAACTCGCTTTCCCTTACGCTTGCATTTTATTCACCAGTAATCTGTATTTATTTACATGATATCCCGCGTATAATATTTTTCACATTTGTACGAAAAAAACTCGTCGCGACACCGCCGGAAAACTTTTCATCGCTTTTCCTTTTTTTTTTTCTGTTTTTCGATATAACGGCAACATATATGTGGCAATCAATCAGTATTGTATAAGTTATACCATAAAGAATGCATTATCCTAAAGTGGTAAAAGTGGTTCTCCCCTTTCATCTTGTTTTTTGTTTCCGCTACTTATACGTAAAATATAAAATTACTTTCTTGCTTATACACGCTGTTTGTCGTTACAGTCTCACAGTTCATGATCACACTAGATGAATATCTATTTCATATATTGATGTTATATACATGTGTGTATGTATATATATATATATATATATATATATATATGTAACATGAATGTATATAACATAATAATTACAAAACGTAACATATTGTACACAACGCAACTGCGATATACCATTATTTATAAAGTATAAACATTATTTCACCGGTATCGAGCATTTCGATGACATTTCGAGACTTTTTGCCCCCTCTTCCCTCCCTCGTTATTGCTACATTTAAGTAACTTAGGTAGTAATAAACATTTCTTAGATCTTTATAGGTTGCAAGTACGTACTCAGTAATATCACTATCACGCGACTACAAGAGACGAATGGAAAGCTCGAATGACGTTTCGCAGTCATACGCAAATATCTCTACATGTTAAAAGCTGAGCGCGAAATTACTTTATTACATCCAGATCAACACACGATCTCTCGTGACAAGAACGCGAGACAGTGTTCTCTCACATACACCACCACATCGACCACCTTCTTTCATTCCCGTGTGAAAATTATACGTACAGGTGCGGTGTGGAAAAGAACAAATATTCTCTAACGTAATATCCGTGCATCGGAGGAGTGACGACGGAGACGTCGCTTATTTACAGGCTGCATGTGCGAGCGCGCGCGTACGCGTGTGAGAAAAATAAAATAAATAGAACATTTAAAACGCGAAATGTTGCTAAAATGAAGTGCATAGTCATGGGAAGTGAGGTAGAGAAGAAAACAGACGTGTACATTTGGATCGTTACTTCTCTACACGAAGGACACACGGCGCGTATGCGGTAGGAAAAACGGCTCGAAACTGGTCTATATAGTAACCGTATTGTATGAGAAATATATACACATATATATATATATATGTATGTATATATACCCATTGCCGTATGTATAAATTATGTAAAATTCAAGTTGGACGGGGATATTTTGGCACATACTGGTCCATAGCTTAATGGCACTTTCACGCCACTTCTGAAAGTGGATACATCAATAAACATATCATGTGTTACATTTGACCCCCTTAAAGCTGCTCTACTATGTCGTGATCGTTTTTGTAAGAGGACTGCTTAAAGCTACTTTTCTGAGAATGTTCTGTCCTTCGTAACTCTTTAGCGAAGTATACTATTGTCCTCTTGAGGCCTTCAGCCAGCGGGATCTTCGGCTCCCAGTTCAAGTACTTCTTAGCTCTGCTAATGTCCGGTCTTCTTCTCTGCGGATCGTCCTCGACCGCCGCGAGTTCCACTATCTCGCTGGTGGCGCCCACCAAGTCTTTTATTATACGCGCGAATTCTGCAACAGAGATCGGAGTGTTGAGATCAAACTGAGTGGGAAGGTCCGTGGGAAAGTTTGAGCGACGCAGTGCTGCGTTCTCACAGCCGGTTCTCACTTTCGATCGTGTGCTCCACGGGGTTTCCAATGTTCACAGGCAAGGTGTAATTAGATGCCATTAGGGCCACTAATCCGTCCACCAGGTCAGAGACGTATTGAAACGATCGCGTCTGCTTCCCGCTACCATAGATCGTGAGCGATTCGTTTTGCAAGGCTTGGAGAATGAAGTTGGACACGACGCGACCGTCGTTCATGTGCATTCTAGGTCCGAAAGTGTTGAAGATTCGCGCGACTCGGACGGAGACGCCTTCTTGTCTCATGTAAGCGTAGCTCAAAGTCTCGGCGACGCGCTTGCCTTCGTCGTAACATGCTCGTGGGCCTGTCCGACAGTTAAATGATCATCGGAACGCCAACGAGCCAATAGAAAAATGTCTCCCTTATCGCTCTATTTATGAAGTACGTATGTAAAATCTTACCGATTGGATTCACGTGACCCCAGTAAGTTTCCACTTGCGGGTGCTCAGTGGGGTCTCCATAAATTTCCGACGTGCTCGCGATCAACACTCGCGCGCCCACTCGTTTCGCAAGTCCTGAAACAACAACAACGACGACGAATTACGTAACTCCGCCCCTCCTCTACGCTCAGCTTGGAATGTGCTTCGCGAACATACGACTTACCCAGCATGTTTATAGTGCCTAACGTGTTCGTCTTGATCGTTTTCACAGGATTCAGCATATAGTGCGGTGGGCTGGCCGGACTAGCGAGATGATAGATCTCATCAACCTCCAGATACAACGGTCTCACGATGTCGTGGTGCACCAGCTCAAAGTTCTCATGACCGACCCAGTGCTCTACGTTGCGCTTTCTACCGGTGAAAAAGTTGTCGACGACTATGACCTCGTGCCCGGCTAGCATCAAACGATCGACCAGGTGAGAGCCGACAAAACCCGCGCCGCCCGTCACCAAAATTCGTTTTCGGTTCTTGTAATTGAGGAACTTCACTGTCGGGAAGTCCTTCGACACCCGGTTCTCGATCGCAGCCTCCAGATGCTGCAGCTTGCCCTCCATTTCACGGATACGCATCTTGGCCTCCTCGATGGTCTTGATGTCTCCGTCTTCCTCGTCGACATTGTGTATCTGTTGAGTCGCGATAACGTTCTTATCATCTAGATCGTCTTTGTCTCTGCTTACTTTATCCAATCTGTGGATTCGACTGCGAATAAAGGAGTGCTCCTCTTCCGTATTCACCAGAGTTTTGTAGAAGCCGAGTACTGAAAGAAGCGGGAGAGAAGAATGTTATAAATTTGTTCGCATACGCGTATTTCGTTATACGGCACATTTTTCGACGCAATAATAATAATTATTTTTGATTATAATAACAGACGCGCGGAATTCAGAAAGAGAAATATGCTACACGTAGTGACAAATATCATATTGTTTCGTTATTAAATCGGCCTTACTTCGCAAAAGCAGACTAAAATATACAAATAATCAGTACATACGCGCAGTATAGTAAAAATATATTTTTTCGGGATTAGGAATTACAAAAATACAAGATTAATTCGTCAGAATGTGCCGTCTGGTGTTCGATAATGACCTCGACGCAAAGTTTGAATTTTATCGCCACATATACGCAGGTGGTAGAGAGGAGATTGTTAAATTACCATTGCTATTTTTAACATGTAACTTCTGCCATTCCGCAGCAATGATAATAATAGAGTCTTACGTTAAGCGTGGGCAATAATTCCCAAAGTACAGCGGTTTCACGCGACATTTCATGTATAAATAGCCAAATTTACAGGAAGGAAAACAAACGAGAAAAAATCGGGATGCAGACTATCGCGAAATTAATCCGTGGCACCCGCAGGATTGTAAGAAACAAAGTGTCGCGTCTCGTCGCCCGACCGACGCGATTCTCCGCGCGAGACGAAGTCACCGCTGCCGAAAGAAAAGACTCGTAACCCTCTCTCGGACACTCACCTAATAATACACAAACCGCGAAGAGTGCAATCTGCTTCATTTTTCGTTGTGTGACAACCATGCTTTAAGTGTGCACATGACTCACTTGGATTACGCTTACGTCATTGCCAGTGCGACTTACTGGAGGAGTATCGCATTGTCTCGCATAATACGGCTGATCTCTGATAGGAATCGGGCCAGTTTGGCTACTCGTTCAAAATGCGACGGCGAGGAACATAACCTCAAATACACGCACCACATTACCAGCAGACACCGTGTGTCCCTAAAGGTACGGTCACATGGAGTTCGAAATAGCGGAACGGAAGAGAAACGAAGAAGGCAAGTGGTGGGGGGATTAACCAATTCTGTTCCGTTGTCCCATTGTGAAACAACGGAATAGAATTGCTCCAATTCCTCCAATTGGTTGACCCCCACCATCCTTCTTTTCCGTTTCTCTTCCGTTCCGCTGTTTCGAACTCCATGTGACCCTACCCTAACCTGGCCTGCACGCGACGTGTGATTATTGACGTACGCCGCGAATGGGCATGGGTGCCGCCATCTGATAACGCGCGGCTACACTTGCGCATAAAAAAGTTATCGCGCTACGATATCACGGACGATTATGGCGTCCAAGCTGATGCCGGCCTTGGACGTGATGCGCTGACCGTTTGCCGTTAACATAACCTCAAAACTGGCGCATCCGCGTGCACGCAGGCGCAGATCCTATTTTTTGATTGATATATAAGGCTGCGGCAGTACAAAGGAAACATCTCAAGTGGTTTTCCTACAGTCACGGTGGCAGTGGCATTCGAAACATGGCAGACGTCATTGATTGTAACTTTCCTGTTTGGGGCCTGCTGCCTAAGAAAGAGACGGGTGTCACTCAATTCCTTACCAAATACCCCGAGTACGACGGCCGAGATGTCATCATCGCAATCCTCGACTCGGGAGTGGATCCCGGAGCACCGGGTATGCAGGTGAGAGAGCAAATCCGCGGCCGTTGGTTATTATAACGCCGACACGCCTCTCGACTTCTCTCCACAACCGTGTAACATTTCGTACCCTTCGTCCGCGTGTCGCGGAAAATGCTTGTTGCCGAAAACGCGAGCGCGTGGGAGATCTTATCCGGAGATATAGTTCACCTGGATCCGTAAGAAGTTGCCGTCTCTCTCGCGCGTCTCCCCGATTGTTCACAAGAGTGCCCCGCGGACCGCCTTCGTCGCGAGATAAAGTAAAAATCACGTCATTTAAATTCTTTTGGTATGGCTGTCCGTTCTTGTTGATATATTTGGGGAGGATTATCACATACGTCATCACTTATTTACTTTCCGAACGCCAACGAGAGCTCGCATCTGTGCGGATCTATATTTTCTTATTTTATCTTTCTGTTGGTTTTATCTTATCGGCTATAAATCTTAACAGGTTTTGTTAAATTTGCATGCTCCTGGCAGAATAAATCTTTATAAGACACTTAAGATAAACTGTAAAAAGAGATCCTTTTATCAGGATACATTTGGATTTTATTTCAGGTGACTTCAGATGGAAAACCAAAAATTATCGAAAGATTTGACTGTAGTGGAGCTGGAGATGTAGACACTAGCAAAGTTGTACAAGCACCAGATGGATATATACTTGGTCTGACTGGTCGCAAGTTAAAGGCATGTTTGTGAAACATTTTTTGGAGACACAGTTTGGAGACAAATGACTAGACAAAAAAACATTAGAAAGTCCAAAGTTGCATTTTAATTAATTTGGCGTTGCTGCTAGACTTGATATAAACATTGAAAATTTCCTCCCTTTTGCTTGTAATTTAATACAGAATAGATATGAGAATTGGTTGTATTTGTACAGGTTCCAAGTAATTGGACCAACCCTAGTGGCGAGTATCACATTGGTTTGAAGAATCTATACGCATTGTACCCTGCTAAATTAAAAGAAAGGGTAGTAGCAGAACGTAAGAAGCGTCTGTGGGATGATGGACATAAATCAGCACTTGCTGAGGCTTCCAGACAGTTACAGGTATTACTACTATAATCAGTTAAGAGCATATCGCCAATCCCTTTGCTTTCTATTGCGTGTTATTGGCTGCATTCTTCATTGCTTTTAGACAAATTTATTCTTTTAATGTTTTGTGATATGAATTTCTGATGATCTCATACTGTGTGTGAGAGAGAAAAAATGTTTTTCTGAAATATTGTGTATTTGCTGGAAATCAATGGAAACACTCTTGTGGGCGCAATTATAATTAGGATTTCAGTCCATGTGATCCAAAGATAGTTGAGTGTTGGTGAGCTTGTCAAACCATGCAATTAAATGAGGCCGCTGTTTCACAACATGCCACAGTGATCCGTATCTAATGCTATATTTGTATTTGGCAGATTGATCTATTGTAAAGGCATTGATACCATTACATAATATCTGCTTAAGCAAAGTAATTATATGGGTACTGTGTATATGTAGTAGCATCCTCATTAATTTTGCAATATTATTTTTGTGACACATGATACTGGTACAAATTTATTTATTTTGAAAAAGTCACAAGTGTGTGTGTGGGAATCTTGCAACGCTCTGTTTAAATATTTCGGCTTATTAAAAGTGTCTTATTAAAAAATCTGTTGCCACAGCTTGGTACTTGATAAGCTTATCTGAATGCATGTGGAAAATAATTGTTTAATTCTTAATAAAGATTTGATCACAATTATAATGAATAACTGTACCATGTAGGAATTTGAAAGCAAAAATTCACAATTATCAACTTTGGAAGAAAGACTAGAAAAGGAAGAACTTGAAGCTCGCGTCGAAGTACTGAACAGCATTGAGAAAAAATATTGCGACGTAGGACCTACCTATGATTGCGTTGTTTTTCACGATGGCAATATTTGGAGGTAATCATATTCCGAGTGCATTACAATCCAAGTATACGCATATATATGTCTGAAGTCTAAATTACTATGTTTCTTCCACAATAGAGCGTGTATCGATACCTCCGAAGAGGGTAATCTAGAAGCTGGCGTCTTCCTCGGTGAATATTCTATCACGAGAAACTTTGCTCCTCTTACTCAAGAGGATCAATTAAATATTAGTATTAATGTTCACGACAACGGAAACACATTAGAAATTGTCAGTTTATGTTGTAAGTACAGATGAGAAGAACTGAAGTCTCGGGAGATTAAGCACATCAACTTTCCTATCGAGTTTCTCTCGATTTCATGATATTGCAGCGAGCCATGGGACACACGTGGCGTCAATCGCAGCTGCATACTTTCCCGATAATCCCGAATTGAATGGAGTCGCGCCAGGTGCCCAAATCATTTCGCTGACCGTCGGTGACGGACGTATCGGTACAATGGAAACTGGAACGGCTGTAGTACGAGCGATGATCTACATAATGCAGCACAAGGAGAAGATCCATGTTATAAACATGAGTTACGGTGAACATGCTCACTGGTCGAATACGGGTAGAATAGGAGAACTGATGAATGAAGTTATCGACGAGCGCGGTGTGATTTGGGTCGCGTCCGCCGGCAATCTCGGACCGGCTCTGTGTACAATTGGTGAGTATCATTAAATTTGATTATTAATCAGTTTCTATCTCTCAAATATGCTGCGTCATATGATGTGATTTATATTACTGTTAGAAACGAGAGGCATTATTAAAGTCCTTCAATATACAGATGCGAATATCTCGTGTCTAAAATACTTGAAAAATGTTGAAAAACAGGAACTCCCCCAGACATCAGTTCAAGCAGTATTATTAGCGTCGGTGCTTACGTGTCACCCGACATGATGATAGCTGAATATTCCTTGAGGGAGAAGATGGCAGGTATGCCGTATACTTGGTCATCTCGTGGTCCGATGATAGACGGAGGCACAGGAGTAACGGTATGCGCGCCAGGAGGTGCTATTACTAGCGTGCCGAATTTCACTCTTAGAAAAAGCCAGCTTATGAATGGCACAAGCATGGCGAGTCCGCACGTAACTGGCGCAGTGGGTGCGTATATATATCACGATTTGTATTCAATATGATGTTTCACATATGCACGCATATTAATTATGAGAACATTCTTATGTTGGAATTTTCTACATTTTAGCTATTCTTATATCGGGCCTTCTTGCCAAAGGTTGTCCATATTCTCCTTACAGTATCAAGAGGGCGCTTGAAAATACCGCTCTTTACGTATCCAACTTAGATCCGTTTGCGCAAGGTTCCGGTCTGCTGCAAGTTGAAAACGCCTTCGATAATCTCGTCTCATATTGCGACGCCCCCGAAAGGGACGTTCGATTTGCCATCAATTGTGGCGTTAATAATAGCAAAGGTATCCATATGAGAACAGGTATCATCGATCGCCCGAAAGATTATGCGATCACCGTTGAACCGGTGTTCATGGATAGCGAAAATATAGGTAATATCTCACATGAGGATTCTTTGATCGGTTCTTTTACTCGAGTGAACTTAGTGTTTTTTCTTTTTATTTATGCCTTTTTAACAAGATAAGTCTTATACGAAAAGATATCTTGCATAAATACAAGTTTGTTTTATTTTCTTACAGATCCATCACGCAAAATCGACTTTAATCTCAAATTAACGCTTGTGTGCGGCGCCTCATGGGTCCAATTTCCGACGCATCTAGACTTGATGCATATGCCTCGTGCTTTTGTTATCAGAGTTGAAGCTTCTAACTTACCAGAAGGTGTTCATGCCACTAGGTGGGGAACATTGTTCTTGAATAATATTGTTAGATTGAAAATTTCAGCCAGTTATGAACTTATATGTACAATTTTCAGCGTACGAGCGTATGATGTAACCAATATCGCAAAAGGTCCAGTATTCCAAATTCCGGTGACAGTTATTCAACCAATGACGCTACCGAAGACTGCACTTCTTCCCGATTTAACGTATGCAAACGTATTATTTAAGCCTAATACGATTGAACGTCATTTTATTCTTGTTCCGGAAGATGCTACCTGGGCAGGTAAATTATATTTTATCATTTCTATTCGATGCTATTTGACAATACGATAAAAATATTAATGACAACTGTTGCACTCGTAACGTCTTCTTATTCATTTCCAATTAGTTTTAAGATTAAGAAGTACAGAAAAGGATAAGACTGGTAGATTCGTGATTCACACTATCCAATTGAAACCTCGTATGTCCTGCAAGACACTCGAGGTTAATAGAATCATCAATGTCACATCTCAGTCAGAAACTGTTCAACCATTTGCTGTCCAGGTATTTTATATAAATATTTTTAATATAGTTATGTATGTAACTGTATATTATGAATTTTTTTTAGGGCGGATTAATTTTAGAAGTGGTTATCGCAAAATATTGGGCAAATCTAGGCGACATATTTATTGACTATTCCATCGAATTTCACGGAATTCATATGATAAATGGCAATCTTACAATGCAATCTGGAGATGGAATAAATCGAATTGAATTGCGTAGTTCTCTTAGAAACGAAGAGGTTGTACCCAGCATTTCTTTAAAATCATCTGTTCAAATTTTAAAGTAAGTATACATTTTTGTGTTAATTTATTCATTTCATAATAATGATTACGTGAAGTGCACAGTTAACACGTGATGCAATGTAGGCCTAATGAATCGAAAATTGCTCCTTTACGAGCGCGTGATATTATTCCGCCATCACGACAAATATACGAACTACAATTAACATACACATTCCACTCGGCAAAAGCAACTGAGGTCACGCCGAACGCTGCATTGCTTAGTGATCTGCTGTATGAAAGCGAATATGAAAGTCAAATGTGGATGATTTATGATAGCAACAAACAACTGATATGTTGCGGAGATGCATATCCATCTAAAGTAAGTTTCTAAAGACGAATGCATTTATTTGATAGGCGAATATTGTGACAATTTATTTGTGTGTGTGTGTGTGTGTGTGTGTGTATATATGTATATGTGTGTGTGTGTGTGTGTATATATATATATACATATATATATTCACGAGCAAATGTGACATTTGGTACAGCAGAGTATTCACAAGCGTGTAAAAATAAAATCTCTCTGTTATAGTATACAATACAAAAGTTAGAAAAAGGAGATTACACCTTAAAAATGCATATACGCCACGAAAAGAGAGATCTATTAGAGAGACTGACGGACATGCCGTTACTTCTCAGTCAAAAACTCAGCACACCAATAAATTTAGATATTTACGCCAGTCAGTCACAGGCTATTATCGGTGGAAAGAAAATGGTAGCTGCATCTATTCCACCTGGTCATATTCTTCCCTTGTACATCGCTCCAATGTTCAACGAGAACAAGTAAGTATTTTTGTCTCTATCTGCCAATACACGATCCATTTCATTATTCATTATCTCAGTAATGCCTGATAGGTTGGTAGAGCTTGACATTTCAAATTTATCGCTAGCCATAATAATAGATATAACTGGAATACCTATCAGCTATTTGCATATATTACATATATATTGTATCATATGTATATTAAAATATATGATATTTTCTCACTAGAGATTTATCATTTATTGATTTGCATTATCAAGTAATATTTTTATCACTCGTTAGAAAAATTATACAATTGAGAGATATTATGTATAAAATTTGATATTTTCGTATTTGTAAGAAGTTTAGTATATCTCCTTGTGATAATCATATGTATGAGTTTTGATATTGTAGTATAGTACGCTTTGATTGAATGTAAAGTATTGTTTGATTTTTACATAAGTAGTTTTTGATTTTAATTAATTGCCAATCTAGATTTCAATAATAGTACTCATGATTAATACTCGTGAAAGCGTTTTCATATACAAATATATAAATATACACGAGTTACTTCCAAATTGGCATTGTAATATTTACACTCACTCTTTTTGACTAATTTGGAATCTTTCTTTAGTAGAGATTATATTGAAACTTGTTTTTTATGACCTCGATATTTAATGTAAAATTTCACATATATTTTGAAACTGAAAAAAATTTTTCTTAATATATTGACAAAATGAGATAATAGATCTGTGCTTTCACTAAAGAAATATTGAATCCAAATTGTTTAAAGAATATGCAAATCTTACATTAATTTAGTTACATTAATTTAGAGATACCGTGTATAATACATAGTTATTAACATTAGTTATTTCTGTAAAATGCTACTAAGATAATTTTCTTTTTTTCATCTTACATTGCAGCACTGAAAACAAGTGAGTCTATAATACAATTTTTACATTTATTTCACATTTGACCGCACTAAACCAAATTAAGAACATTACTCACTACCCAATCAAATTGACACATTCTTATGTGTATGTGGAAAATGTGCTTATCTCTAATCGGTTGCGGCTTGTTGATGGTTTATTGCGGAAAAAGATGGCTTAGATGCGGAAAAGTATATCTGGAAGTGTTGGCATATTTTTGTTCATATTTGTTTTTATTGTTTCATTTCATTTTAGAAAAGCATATGCGCGCAAACGAATAGCAACATATTAATGTGTTTAAAATAAATTTGCTTCATATTTTTACATATTTGGTAATGTACACTTGCACTCTTTTAGTGCAATTTCTATTATTAATTTTTAAGTATTAATTTTTCATCCGTATGCTTTTTTGTGCAGTAGCTATTTTATTATTTTTAGTTATCTTTGAATGTATTTTGTTTTATAGAGAGTTATTTGTTTGTCTCTTGGCATGTATGCCTCGATCTTTTCAGTTGTACTTTAATGTCATATATATTTACCTAAAATCAGCTATATTATGTAATGTAATATATATTTATTCACCTCAGCTTTTTGTCAAAAAGGGGACTTGGTTTACAAAAAATGTTTTCAACCTCATCCTTTCTTATTTTTCTATGTGCTTATTCTAAATATTACATATGCTATTCTAAAACTATTCTAACTCTAAATTCTAATTCTAAATTCTGGAAATCTCAATATTTTCCTACATTCTTACATTACAACGATCTTTTTTGTTCCTCTTTCTATTTCTTTTATTTTCTTCCCTCCATATGCTCTATAAGCTCCTTATGTATTTTCTAATCTACTTACTACTCTATTTTGTATTCACTTCTTATTCTCGCCTTACACACACAGACTTTCATACTCTTACACGCCCTCTAACTAAATCCGGCTATATTACATATATATTTCTCTACAAGAACATTATAATCATTGATACACAATGGCTGCTAAACTTCTTTTACATTGGCATTCAACTGAATTTTCTATTTTGTTTAGCTTTCAGGCATATAATGCTAAAGTTAAGAAGAAGATAATAAAAGCTGCACAATTTATCACACTATAAATAACTTTCTCAGTCTACCGAAATACATAAAATATTTTCCTCTTTTTTTTGCGAAGAATATCCAAAGGCGCTACCCTCGGTAGTTATCTTCAAGGTACATTGACTTTCTGTAAGGACGATATCGGAAAGAAAGTGGATAGTCATTTATTCAAATATATATTATCTGAACCAACCAAGAAAAATAGCAACACCACTACCAAGTCCGAAAAGGAGAAAACTATGACGAAATGGGACGAGTACAATGAGGCGTTGAGAGATCTAAAGTGCAATTGGCTCGCAAAACTTGGTAATTTAACTCAGTTATAAATATATACATACATATATATATATATATATATATATGTACGTGCGCATTTAAATATATCTAAGTGTAGTTAATTTTCATCATATCATAAATATTTTTGTTTCTTTTTTCCGGTTTATGTTCTATCAATAGCACCGTCCATAAGTAAGTCGAATTGGATTAAAAATGTAAATGTTTATATATCTTGAGCCCCCTTTCCTACAAAGAAAAACGTACAATTTGATGTTTCTTACACACTTGTATTGGAGCTTGGAGCATGTATATATTTTTTGTTTTATTATAATTCTATATTACCGTATATCAAATAATGTATATGACTACAATATTTTCATCTTTTCGTTATGTTTGACAAGTCAATTGTTGTAGTAACACCCATAATCTCTTCTTCACTTTTGACATTCGTTATCATGTAATGTTATAATCTGAATAAATGACTGTGATGTAAATATTTTTATTTATGCCAGAATTTATGTGATTTCTTTGTGACAGAACCCGGCGAATATGCCAATTTGCTGTATGGGGAGCTGAAGAACATCTTCTCGGATCACCTGCCCGTCCATACTGCCATGTTGACGTCTTTGGATTCTCCTGAAGCACGTAGACACGTGCCTCACGATGATCTCTCGGAGAACGCTATCGCGCTTGCCAATCAAATAATAACAGTCGCAGACGCCGTGATCACTAATATCGATCAAGACAAGCTTCTAGCATACTTTGGCCTGAAGAATGATCAACGTCCCGATGCAGCTAAAATCAAGACCAGTATGGAGAAGCAAAAAAGCAGCTTGATCGAGGTGTTAGTGAAGAAGGGCTGCGCACTGGCGCGATTGTACGTACATGGCACAAAGACTGGAGAGGAGGGATCTTACGGACATTTACTCGAAAGCGTTACGCATCATTGGCAAGAAGTGCAAAAATTCGCAGAACCTACTGATAATAAGGTAAATGTAATTTTATCGCTGTGTTTGAAGTTAAAAAGTAGAAAGACGAGACTCTGGCTGCTTCATTTACACTGGCAAGAATAGGAATGTTGAATATAAATAGCGATTGAGTGAAATATCGATCTTAATCTCTTGCGCAGGTTATTATTCTGTCCTTGTGGCATGCGCACATCAATAATCATTATGGACGTTATTTGAAATTATTGACACGCTATTACGAGGAGAAACCGCTGAAAGAAGTTGACGAGAAGTGCATCGAGATTGCAAGGATCCTGGGCTGGGAACACTGGTCGCGTCTTATTACTACGAGTATACCGACGCGTTATCCGGCTACTTACAGATCGTTTTGATCACTGGTAAGGTGCGATATATCTCAAGGTGCATCAAAATGATTTTCACGCCCAATGACTGAGAAAGTTTCAACTGATGAAAGCACGTTTCCTGCGCAACTTTGTTTACGTTGCAATATATTCTCTTATTACTTTCAGATTTCAGATTTAATTTCAGATTTAATGTGGCTGATAAAACAGGAGCAATGACTAATACCGTTTCCAACGCATCTTTGTAATAACAGTGTCGAGCAAGCCGGGTGTAATATACGTTTAGATAAAAATATTAGTTTATTACAGTTATAATAAACTAATGATTTAGAAATTCTACCGAACTGATTTAACAATCATATACGTATGTACGTAATATGATTTGCACGAATGAAAATTGAAAGGAATTTATTGAAATTATTGATTCACGAGAGACAAATATAATATAAGCAATAATAACATATAAAATGTGTCTCATTCGCCAAATTGACGCACTATTGATATCACGAAGGGGACAGAAAAAACCGACAATAGGCATTTTCTCTAGATTCGAATGAGTACTTAATCGGAGTCTCGTAATGATGACGGCGTTACAAATAATGCCGTCACTTCCCAACATTGTTGATTTCAATGAATAATGACATCTAGCCGTTGAATTAACCGAGCATCATATCGCACTTGGTTCCATCTTTTAGTTGCAACGTAATCTATGTCACTAAACTTTCGTTGTTCAGCTTTATTTTTACGGTAAATTATATGTAAATATATACGTACGTATTTTGTTTTTACATCGACAAGATATAGTTTATTCCATTGATGTATGTTGTTCCTGATGTACTGCGCGACAAATCTCGAACGGACTATTTATTACTTCTGCGTTCATGTCATCGGGATAAGATGATGCATCGATTACATCCAGCACACAGACACTTTTATATCTTATATTACGCAACGGATAAAACGTAATGCCCCGTGCAAAGGAATGTACATATTGGAAAATAAATTTGGTACACCAATTGCATTTGAGCAAATGCTAAGAGCCAAACGCTCTTAGTAATTTTTTTACAGAAGTCTGTAATGGTAAAACGTCTGTAACATGCTTAAAAAAACCAGTTCAAAGCGGTCCACCGATGACCGATGTATTCGTCATTGCGATCAAGTGAGGATAGTGCTGCGAGAATGAGAATCGATTGAATAAAACATGTTTTATTAGGAATTATAAATATAAAGTAACAATTATAATCATTAGACCTGATGAAAAATAATTTCTCGGAACAAAGGCAGAGCTTGAAAATCGTTATATGGTAAGGAAATTGTATTGTTTTTAACAATATTGCGCGATTATCTAAATAATAAAACTATTAAACAAGTTGTTGGCGTGTCATCAGTTGTAATTCCATTAATTATCGTAGCAGTACTTGCTGTTCAACTGTTTACCTATGATGGCTTGCAACGCAGTCTGAACCGTCACAAGATCTCGGCATTCAAAATGTCTTGATTACATGTTTGCGGAAATGTATCTCGTAACAAAATTCACAAGTAATGAGAAACACACGGAATAAAAGACGCTCCTATGGCTATGGCTTTACCACCACTGTTTAGCTGCCATTTTCCGACATACGTGAAAGACTGTTCTAACAATCAGGTGGACGTATTCTGGTATCACCCTGAATTTACACAGAGCCGTTACCCACCGGGACAAGGAGGTTATTATATTATATATGTATATATCGTTAGCAAATATGTTCGAGCGCGTGTGCGGATGAAATATAACGTTAACGTATATTTCTCGGTGTGCCTGCACAATCCTCTAGTAAGCAAGGCCTGTACACTTATATGTTTGCTTGTGGCAGTACGAATATCGAGAGAACACTTATTGATTGATAATGTGGAGAAATGCCCAAAATTGAATATCATTGTAGCGGAAGCCATAATAGAGGGCAATGAGATTCATGCGTGGCTCATTAGGAAGAGACTTATATCAAATCCTTATTTAAACACGGAGGAGGCTTTGAAGTATGGCGGGGAGAGTTTGGATACACTTAGAGAATGGGTATGACTGTTGTGTACCTGAAGCAAATTATATTTCATATTTTCAGTCATCGATCGCTCGTTAGTTTCTTGTCTCACTTAGTTCCTACTTGTGTATAATAAGAGAAATTCTCTCGTGCGTGAGAACGTATTCTACATTTGAATTATTACATATACACGTAATACCTCCGTCGCAGAAATTCAACATCTTCTTCGAAGAGATAGGAACGAGTTTGTGCAAAAATATAAATACATTTTTGCACGAGTGGTACAAAGCTCCGGAACCGCACACTTTGTTTATGCTGCTTATCACGTGTGGACGCACTATATTGCTCATATTTCAAGATACATATAAAGTGAATAATCCGGTATTAGCTGCAGTATAGGCAGGCAGATAACGAAGATCTGATCGAGACGAATCACTTTTACTTGCAGGTCACGCTGTTTGATTCACACAGTCATTGTACTGTTAATAACACAAATCGCGGCTTAGTCATTGCTCAGGTAAGTAGCCAAGGTAAACGAGCGAGTTTCGTAAGAAATTTTATATTTTAGCAGACACGTTAGACATATCGTGTAACGTGCACGCGTTTACGAGTTATTTTCCTACTAATAATCGTGCGAAAATATATATGACGCAGGCATCCATTGATAAGTTAGAGGCATTGTGCGATTGGTATACTCAAGATGTATTAAAAAATTGCTACAATATACAAGCTGATAAGTACGAATTGGCTTGCTTATATTACTGTGGACACTCTTGCAAATGCCACAGCTATTACAAAATATAACCGCATGCCTATGTATATATTTTTCAACTGGCCATAAGGATACAAATAAAACTTAATTTTTATGTAGATGTACCACGCCAAAGCCTGTAATAATCTCGGTGATGTCATCACCATATGCCAGACCATGTTAGTAGAGCTCTCTAAACATATATAGGTGTGTAAGTAATACGCAGGAAATACAGTATACACTCATTCAGCAGTTATTTGTTCTTTAAACAAACCGAGCGTGTGCGTGTGTGGATCAAGACCGATGTATTTATTTACATTATGTACAAATTTATCTCTCTAAGGCTAGTGAAACGCGCCTCATTGTTTACACAATGCTGAAACTATTAGGAAAATAATTTGATTTATCTTCGAAAACAACGTCACTTCAAACAGAGAGAGTGTTTTATAAAACACGCACCGTACATATTTCTCTACGAGTGAGTTTAGCATTGCGCAAACATATCCTGGCGATATGTTGTCTATATTATATTAGTAAGCTTAATACTAATTCATATCTGCTGAGATTTACTTCCTTCTCTGCTACGTTTTTTTTTCTCGTTACTCTTATAAAATATAATGAAAAATGTGTGGACGATACAATTTTACTCGAAAGTAGTTTCGTTTTATACCCTCATAACATTGTACGTATAAGTAGCTACAATATTTTGATTTCTTAACAATTAACTTTCAATTTGCAATAGTGTATTTGTTTTTTTTTACATCTGCGTAATTTCCATGTATCTCGTGTAAGCGAAGATCACTTGCACGAGTCGTGGAGATATAAATATACGTTGTTAAATTCGTATAATTTAGATTATAATATAGATAAGGGAATAATATATCAACGCGTAAAATCATAATAAATTTGATACTTGATAGAGTCAAATCTGTTTATGCCAAGGATATAATTACACATGATTCTTTTATGTGTGATCAGTTTAACAAACAAACACAGCAAACTAAGCCATATGATTAGCAATAAAGATCATCGTTCGAATTAAAAAAAAAAAAGTATATTTTTATTTTATCTAATAACTATAAAGTTTCAAAAATATGATATAAGTATATTATATTATCATTTTCTAATAAGAAATTAATTTTTTTGTTCTGCCACACTGTTGAATTGATTGAATATAAAAGGTAAGTATAACGATGCCGAGAGATAGTACAATGTCTAAAATACAGATTTCTTTCTCTTCCTATTCCCATGTGTATATTACAAGTATGTAAGTATATTTATGTATGTGCTCGCAAGTGTATGTGTGTGTGTATGTATGTGTGTATATATGTATGTAAAGTGGAATATTGTAGAATTTATTTAATAACAATTCTCAACAACGTAATTTCTAGAAATTACTATCTACACAAACATATAAGCTATGTTTCCCCCCTCCTCCTTTTGTAATTTTGCCCTTTTGCAATGCTGCATTACCTTAAAAGAAGATTCTTTTTCCTTGATTCTTAAAGCCGCTTACGCGTACCAACGTTAGTTGAGCAACTTTTTGCCATATTCTCATTTGTAAAGAAACATCTTATACATCGTATTACTTTGTACAACATGATCAATCACAAGGCAATACTTGTTTTCATCTTCGAAGATAAATCAAAGATCGCAATGAAGTTATTGTACAGATCATGATTTTGCATATCCTACGTGGTTAGTAGTTTTCACACAAATAGAACTTGGTACAAGTAAATAGCATTATTACTCTTTAAGCAAACACTCGAAAGATATCTTAATCTCTCTTTCTCCCTTTTTCTCTTCTCTTTCTTTGCGTATGTCAGCAAACGAAATCATCATCTACCGAAGCGATATATTGTACATTGTTTGACAATGCATATTATAAGGAAGCTATACATTATACACTATGCTTCATTATACTGTGACACAATGATTTTAACCAGAGACGTTGAACACAATAATCCCATGTAAAATCATGTACTATACAGAAAGTAGGATGACTTTATGTTACTGGAAAAAATATTCAATGAAACAAGTTTAAAGAGTATATGTCTCGTAATCGAATAAATAAAGTTACCGTGAGTGTTCAACATTTGTTATAAAAAAAAAATAACGTTAGAGAGTTTGACGAACTCGAGGTTGCGCCCACTCTACGAAATCATCGATCAAAACTGGCCAGGCGCCCTCCTCATCATAGTTACTCATGTCTGGATTAATCATGAGTGCAAAATCCAACAATAAATTCCATGTGTCTTTTGGAATTGATCTTTTGTGATGCTCCTATAAAGAGAAAAAAACAAAAAGGAAAAAATAATTTTGTAGCAAAAATAAATATAAAAATAGAATTACAGACCTCTCTTACCTGTAAAAATTGACACCATAGTTGAAGAAATCTGAATTTATCATCTAATACAATATTCCAATAAGCGATTGCCATGTCCAGATCTAAACCTTTCTGTCCAGTATTCTTCGCATAATTAAATGTAAAATGATAAAAGTCTTTGAATTTCTGAGAGTCCCTCAATTCATTTTCTAAACTACCTAAACGTGCTTTTAGCTTATCTATATTATCCACACTAAAAAGAAAAAGAGATATTATTATAGAATTGCTTATAACTGTATACCTTATAACAGAAGATGAGGCAAAATAAATATGAAGTAACGATATAATTAGGAATAGAACAAGGAAGTACTTTTGTATTTACCCCAAGTCCATCATTCCATTCATGAATTCATCCTTTGTAAATTCGCACTGTGTTTCAGCACGAAATTTCCATGCAATGATTAAAACTAACTTACTTTCAGGACTTAGACCCAAATCATCCAAAAATTTCATGATACCATCCGCGGTAATTTTATTGGGCTCACTTGGATCTGTAAGTATTGTTATTATGTGGTATATTTGTTTCTCTTAATATCCGACAGAAATAAAATAATAAAATTGTTTACAACTGATGGTCCTATGTAATAAATATTTATTTTATACAGTAAATAATTTTTATAGTACTATAATAATTGTAGTAGCCTTACCTTGGTATCTACTGTATAATATTTCCAATTTCTTTTTATCTACAGAATTTTTAGGTTCTTTGCAGTAAGCCTCTGGGTTCTGGAAGTAATTGTCACTTGCGAGATCCAGTTTCCAATCATTTTGTGCTAAACAGTATATTGCTGTTTGCTCTCCGGTTTGTGTAAATGTTATAAATTTTTTCACTTTGTCCCTTTGTGAAAATTTTAATTTCTGCTGCAATTCAAATAAGATGAATTGTCACATGTACTTTATACACTTATTTAATTACATTGCTAATGGGATATATATAAAAATACAAATCATACGAAGAGTATTAGTAAGATTATTTAATAAGAAAATAGCACAGAAACTCAATGCAAAATAGATGTAACGAAAGTGGAGAAAGCAGAGAAGGTCAAAGCAGTATCTCAAGTCGCCCCGTCGTTCCTCTGATGACAGATCTGATATATTTAGCGTAAGGAAAAGTCAGAATAACATTATACACGAAGATAGGTTATCATTCTAACTTTAAAACGAAGCGATGAAGCAGGGGATTACACCTGATTAATTGATAACACGACATAAACGTAATCTTATCGCTATACAAATATCTGTTTTTTAGATGCTTACCATTTTCCAGCTAATTTTAGGCCCCCGAAAGCCAAAATATTATTCCCCTCGCACTACACTTGACACGAACATGCGCATGTTCTGTGAACGTCTCAAGTAGAGATGGACGGTAATCGACCAGGAAATCGATGTTCGATTCTTTTTTTGTTAACAGATCGATTGTTTTCTCGATGTTTTAAAGTTGTACGAGGTATTGCTTTTTCCCTTTCAGACAAATAGTCTACTATTGCAAGAAATATCAATAAATATGTTCTCTATAGTAAAAATGAAAAAAATAAAATGCTTGACTTATTGTTGAGTCTACATTGAAAGAAAGCTGATTTGTAACCGTACTCACACATTTCTTTTAATATGACTTTATTATGATTTAATATAACCTTTTTAATATATATGACTTAGTATTTAAAATATCAATTATTAAAATATGATGCAGCTTGTGTAACTGATATATCAGATTTTAAATTAGTATTAGATATTATTAATAATATTAATAATATTACAAAGAAATTTGGTTTGAGTAGTTAAAAGTAGTTTTCATTTTTGCACAGACTTTACAGACTACCCTTATGTATGTTGATAAATACTCAACAATTACATACATATACATTTCTCACATGATATCATAAACATCTCATAAAATAAAATTAATATCAAATAGAATTAAATAAAGTGTTATAACTGAATTAATTTAGCTAAATGTTTAGCTAAATTTTTAATAATTACTATGATTGTAAATGTGGAAAATTTGCATAAGTAAGAAATTGATCTATCTGGACGTTTCGTTCAATATATTTCATTATTAAAATTAAATATTAAATATTATTGGGGACTTGAATAAGTTCTCGCTGTTTTTTCGTGAAAATGAATGCTTTATTTAAGAAAATTAGTAAAGAACATGTCATTGAAAGTATTGTCTATCGCTAGCCACTACTTTCTCCCATCTTTCTGGCAGCATACGAATACCATATCGAAAGAACGATTCATCTTTTGAGGTTATCCACGAATCGACCCATTTTTTGGCATCTTCATAAGAATGGAAGTGCTGCTCAGCCAGGCCATGAGTCATCGATCGGAACAAGTGGTAATCGGAAGGAACAATGTCCGGTGAATACGGCGAGTGGAGTAGGACTTCGCATTTGAATGTTTCCAAGTAGGTTTTGACCGGTTTTGCAACATGTGGCCGAGCGTTGTCATGCTGCAAAATTACTTTGTCGTGTTTCTCCTCGTATTGCATGGGTCTTCATAGAGTAATGCTTCCAATTCTTCGTCTTTAAACTTTTTCGGTGCGCCAGAGCGTTCTTTATCTTCAATATCAAAATCATTATTTTTAAAGCGTCTAAACCAATCTCTGCATGTTGTTTCCGACAGAGCATGGTCGCCGTAAGTCTCCACAAGAATTCTATGTGCTTCAGCTGCAGATTTTTTTTGAAAAAAATAATACCAGTAAAATTCCCCGCAAATACTCTTTTTTTGGCACGAAATTCGACATGTTTAACGCTATGAAAAAATATGTTATTTACGCTTCGGTGGAATAACATATACTGTTACTTCGAGCCTATAAGGGCCAGAGCATAGACTTCTACATAACGCATAATACACAACACATAAGAGAATCAACCAATCAGAGTTCTTCATTTCTGTCCTGAGGAGGGAAATGAAGAAAACTAATTGGTTTATTCTCTTATGTGTCATGTATTATGTGTCATGCAAAAGCCTGTGCTCTTGCCCTATTGGTGGAGCTTCACGATGAAGTTGGCTGTAGCATTGCCCAATGCAAAAAGGCTAAGATAACACCATCTGTCGGGAAACAGCGAGAACTTATTCAAGTTCCCAATAATTATCAAAGTATGGGATATTCAATATACTTTATATACGTCTTGAATCTCAGTGGTGTTAATTTATATGAATAAAATACATAGTTTATAACCAATCTGAAGTTTAATGTTAACCGAATATATTTTTATTTTAATTTTTTAAAAATTCTTTCTGACTTGATGTTAATACGTATTATTTGATGAGCATAAATATAATCGGACGCGAAACGACTTCAACTCTTTTTTTGAATGAATTTCGGAATGTGGCTAATGATCCAGTGAGAAAACTTGTTTCTGAAAAATTTTCAGAAATTAAACTTTCATATTGGATGTTTATTGCGTTCCGAACTACATCTATAAAATGTTCAAACTATTTTGCTCCAAACACAATTGTCTATACAAGATATCCAACATGAATCGTTTTTTTTTAATATGAACTCGTGAAAAGTGAAAATTTTCTAATGTAAAAGTATAGGGGAATGTACACTTTTTAAAGTAGTTGTACCAGAGAGGAAGCTGAGAGCGGCCAACACGGCGTTTTCGGCGACACCGATTTTTCGCACTGGGAATGGGCGCTATCTGCATCCATTTTGAGAGGGGAACTACGATGCTACATCCACTTTTAGGTCTCGACGGTAAAACCTGCATCTGGTGGCTGTCCATGCTACATCCACTTTCAGGCGGTTTATGTCCGTGCTACAACCATAATAGCGTACTTGACAAGCACGGTCTCGCGCATTGTTATGCATTTGTAACATGAATTAACATGTTAACATGCACAAAAAAAATAAGAATAGAGATCGTATATGATTAATATTATGAAGATTATATACGATTTATATCGATATACAAATATATGATAATAAGATAATATTTTGTATGTACCCAAAATTATTTTTTCAAAATATTTCAGCGTTACGTTAGTATTTATTTATACTCCGGCAGGCGTTTTTTAGCGTAGTTGTGTCCGTGTGCATGTGTTGCATTGAAAGGGTGCGTGACGTACGTATGCATATACGCACTCACACACACACACACATACGTGTCATACGCAACAGATAGAATCTCAGGGTATATGCTTAAACATTTTCAATTGCCGTACGTTTCTATGTAAGAATGTAGTCGGCACACACACACAGAGAAACTGCTCCCGTCTATCCGTCTGAAGTCCCGCCCTCCGATCGGCTTGTTTTGACGAGCCAAGCGAAAGAGAGAGAGAGAGAGAGGGAATGTGTTCTCTCCATCTCGCTCTGATTCGCAACGTTGCCGAGATTGTGCTTCCCGACACACGGCCGAGACTGACGTTTCACTCTCGGCGTGAATCCAACGAGATGATCAATAGCAATCGATTTCGACTAAACTCGTTGTGTCGATAGATTTGCATGACAAATTAACATTGCACTTAAAGATACGGCGTAGCATTGAAGCGTTTGCAAGAAAGTCGCGATTGAAAATCGCGAGTGCTTCATGAACCAAATGAAGGAGCGAACTTCTCAAAGAACGTGTGGCTTGGTGGAAGTACGCTGGACTCGCAGGGTTGAGGTCGGTGGTTCGCATCTCCTTGGCGATCGGCGTTGTCCTTTTTCGCCAATCATTTTTTTTTCGTTTTTTAGGAAAATGCACGTGTTGCATACAACATACGTGTATCACAATAAATTTTTTTTCATTTTTTAAGAAAATGCACGTATTGCATACAACACACGGGCATCGCAAGCATTACACGTTTCGTCGATGACACTTCCTCTGAGACCCCGCCCTACGCTCGACTTGTTTCGACGAGCCAAGCAAAAGAGAGACAGAGAATGTGTTCGCTCCATCACCTATGTGAAGATGGCCCTTCATTCTTTAAATTTGAAAAAAATTATTAGAGTTCTGAATGCCCCTCGCAGAGTTCTAGAGTTCGCAATCCTTTATATCGCGTATCTAACAGGTTGGTTGAAGGGCCGGCGTCCCTATAGCAGAGAAGTGTCCTTCTTGCGGGCGGGACAGCGAGCGGGTGATCCTGCAGAAAATATATTAAAAATGTAATAAATAGAGCACGTGGAGGATGAAGCACATTGCCCAAGTCTGCTAGCTTGGGCAATAATACTATTATTCCTACGTGCATATAGGTAATATGCGTCGTGTTGCCTATTGTCGGGGGGGGGCATAATGTCCCCCGACAGTATAATATATACTGGAAAATTTATTCTCTGCCCACTGTTGGGGGGGGGGGGGGCAAATTGTCCCCTGACAATAAAGTATATAAAATTGGCGTCGGGCCTATGCCTGAAGATACATTGTATTTACCTCGGGGGGCAAGCCCCCCGGGGAATATTTATTGTTTAAATAAAGTATGTCGATATCCAGTATTTCGTCGCGTACTTTAAGGCCTACCTTTGGGTACTTCAAAATTCCGAGTACTCCGTTGTCCAGGGCTCGCGCGCGTTGCCTCCCCTGTCGACCGCATGTATAGAAAAAAAAAAAATTTTTGATCTTCGTTCAGGGAAGGCGATTGCCTCGTGCGATTCCGCGTCTGAAATTAATTACGTTATTGTGAGAGAAAGTGAAATAAGTGCCTCTGGGATATTATACTTACCTACTTATCTTTTGCGCTGATATCCTGGAGGCGAGGAGTGGCGATTTTATTGGCTCTGTCGATGGATGTCTGTGGACGGCTGTAAAGGCAGGAAAAAATTGATAAAACTTTGTTAAATTTGCGTCGAAATCCGACCGGCGTGCAGTGGAGCTGTAAGAGATATTTAGAGAGAGAATCGCGAAATTTATAAGTCCAGTGACGGGCGGCGTGTTGCTTTTGCACATTGTCACATTAATAGCCCGTCACTGGCACTAAAAAGACAATTATTATTTATCGCACGTTGTTGGCGAGGCCTGTGGCGGGCATACACTCATATTAAAAAACATCCTTTATTAATAAAAAGTCCCGCCACAGGCGTTACAAAGTACAAAGAGAAGCGGCTGCGCGCCGAGCATAAGTCCCGTGACAGGTGCAACGCGTATATCTCGATTAGTAAGCACAATTTCACTAACCACCTGTCACGGGCAGATAAAGCACACTCCACTGCACACGAAACGTAGGTCCCGCGGCGGTGCAACTGTCTTTGTACGTGTTTTTTCGACGTTGCAAACCGCCCGCCGCGGGCAGCCGGTCGGACCTGCCGAGCGCCGTTGGAGCGCCGCTCCTCGAGCGCGGAATCGACACGCGGGCGTTTTTGCGTATTTTTTTTTTAATCTCGAGTGTGCACGCCGCGTTACTGACCGTGCCGGGGGTCAGCGGGTATACGTCCGTCTTCGCTGCC